AGAATAGCTATGTAAATCCTCTTCCCCTTTCAATTTTAACCAGTACGTATACAATGTGAAATATCTAATAATCAGAGACACCGGGTTCTAAAAGTGCAGTTGGCCCAAGCAGTAAGGATTGATTTTATAATTGGAGCAAGGATTGGAAAATAAACCCAGAAGAGCATGGCTGTTACCAAGGGCAATAATGCCATAATAAAATTAAAAATCTGTTCTAGAAGACAAAAAGTGGTGCCCAGCAGTACCACTGGCCACACTGAATAATGTGTGTGTGTGTGTGTGTGTGGGTGGGTTTGTATATGTGTGTGATTAAAAATGGGCTCTATATTTTTTATAACTATTGCAGCAGATATCAAGTGCCGTGTGTATATATAGCGTGTGATTATTTTATATAATGTATATGATATAATTTTATAAATATGATTCCCTTATGAGAATTTGCTGTGTGGGTATAGGTTGCTATGCAAGATAGGGTTTTGATGCAAAATGCTGTTTGCTTTACGTTGAAACTTACAGAGATGGATTGTATGCTATTTGTTTATACAATTAATTTGGAAAGGTTTTAGAAATTATTTTTCAATGTTCTATGAAATTGAGGTCACAACCTTGTATGCTAGATGAGGGTGGGACCAGCATCCCTGCTGGTTGAGATAGGAGAAGTCTTTTTGGCCAGCCAGATTGTCAAAACACTTGGCAGCAAGTTGCTTCCATCAGTTCCATCTTTACACAGCCCATTTGATCCAGAAAAGCCCAGATAACGTAAGAGATGATATTATTGTTTGAAGGTGGAGAAATGTCAGCCTCTCCCTTAACAGAATCTCATCAAGAATTCTTTTTCTTATATTGTGACACTGTTTTAAGTGTTTTTCCCTCTTATTGTATTTTATTTATAAAAGTTATATATTGTCTTTATATTTTAGGGGAATTTTGTGTTCCTTCCAATCATAGATGCATATAAATGTTAGAAAACATATACAGGTGATAAGTTCCTGAAATCTAAATGCTCATTCCCCTATTTAGTTTCGGATTGGCCTGTTTTGCCCAAGAACCGGTCGGACCAATCTCATTTGACAGTGTTTTAAGTTGTAATGGCTTATCAAAATCACTAAACCCTTCTGTGAGAATTGGGACATCTTGTTTAAGCTCTTTTTCCTTCTTCCAGTTTGAACACTGTGATCCCAGTACAAATCTTGTTCAATTGTTAACTTCTCTAGCGTCTTCATCTGTATTAGATATCCTTTGAATTGTGGCATGGTGTTAGCTCATTTGCAGAATTTACTATCGAAATATATTGCAGCAGAATTTAAACGCTGTATCTCACAGAGAATTTCTCATTGATCCTCATAAAAAAAGATGCAAATATGCAACTCTATAAGAAATGTTCATTGCAGAGCTTTTGTCCAGAATGCATTCAACACGCATTTTGTTCACCTTTGAGTTTGACTAAGAATGAGATGAATTGACAGAGCGATTTCTAATTATGTGGTCAAGATCCGTTACAATGGATCCGTTATCCTGATACAATGGCTAGGTAAAGCTACTGGTTTGAAGTAGTTGGGTCAACTCTACTCATTACATGTTGTTAATGCCTGTACACAGTAGCTATCGGGAATTTGTCCCGTTAAAATCTGTGTAACTGACTTATGTAACAGGTGGTTTTGGTGCAATATGGTTTTAAATTGAACTGTTTTCCTGAAGGTGTGCGATCTAGCTACACAGATTCAAAAAATATTATTCTCAGAGCTTTCCCCTCCGGTCTTTGAAAAGTCACTTCACTAAATAAAGTATCGCTGATTAAGCAAAACATATTATTTCAGTTTACTTTGATTTTGCAATTTAATTTAAATTTAAAGATGCATGTATTTTTTGTCATATAAAAACGTTATATTTTCTTTTAAAAGTTGTAATATTCTTTTTTAAAAAAAAACTGTACAAATGTTTAAATATTGTAGGTTTGGGCAGAATTTTCTTTGTGTTTATAATATTAAAGAGAATAACACTGGTCCTGTCTAATGGTCTAATATGAGAATTATTGCTATTGCTGTTTCTTGTTGCAGTCTTATTTAAAACAACTGTATCCTTATGCAATGAATGGAAAGTTCACACAAGTTTCATTTTGTAAAAAACCTTGTTAATTAATGTTTCAAATCATACATCCCCAGTTTTCTTTTGATGTTTCTTCACTATTGTCTAATGCAGGGCTCTCCAAACATGGCAACTTTAAGACTTGTGATGTTCAACTCCTAGAATCCCCTAGCCTGCAAGGCTGCCTGAGGAATTCTGTGCGTTTGAATCCACAAGTGGCCAAGTTTGCAGATCCCTGGTCTAATTTTATCTCCCCTTGAGAGATAAAATAGCAGCTGTGCAACCTATCTCAAAAGGAGGAAAGTCGTGTTCAGGATCTATTTGTCCAAATGAATCAAGATGTCCTATGATCATCTTTAATGAGGTATCCATTTTATCTTAACTCTCACTGATTTGGGAGAAGGCACAATAAACTCCTGTAAATGCTGTCCCCTACCTCGACTTTCTCCCCTTTCCCCTCAGTTGCCTCATTTTTTCTCCACCCTCATCTAACAACTAGTTTCTTTATTGACTTGTGGAGTATTTACAGCTCTGAGATGATTCTTGTAACTTTTACAAGCAGGGTTGAGGCATTCCCAGATGCATGCCAGTGGTGAACTGAATTATACCCGATGGAAACATCCCCCTTCCATATTCTTAAATGGAACGAAATTGTAGCACATTTTGGGACAAAACAGCTATTGTCCAACTCCAGGGACCATAGATTTATATATATTTTTGCCAACATACATGCTTTACAACAGTGGTTATCGACCTGGGGGTGGCGATGTCATCACAGGGAATTCACAAAGACTTGAAGAAATGTCGTGATTTAAATCTTAAGTCTTGGTTAGTGGCCACAAAAGGTATTTAAAGATCCGCGGTGAAGAAAAGGTTGAGAACCACTGCTTTACAAGTGTGACTGAATCTATTGGAGTTATTAACTAGAGCAACCAAACATTTAATCAGGGGTGTCCAACCTTGGCAACTTTAAGACTTGTGGGATTCAACTCCCAGAATTCCTCAGCCAGCCAGCTGGGGAATTCTGAGAGTTGAAGTCCACAAGTCTTAAAGTCGCTAAGGTTGGATACCCCTGATCTAAATGTTCAATTGTGAAGGGTTGGTGTATTGGAAAAGTTGCTCCATACAAAGGAGCCAGCACTGTGTATTAAATTGTGGTAACAAGCGGGGATATGGTGAATGAATACATCCCTGCCCCACTCATCCATCAGGTCAACAGATGACTAAACCACCCCACAGGCATTGTTTGCTGAGGTGATTCATTATCCCAGCTGTCCAGGGCTTGACTGCCTTCCACAAAAACCAACACACTAAAACATCATAATGCAAAGACTCCCTGGCAGATAAAATGGGATGGGTGCTTATGACTTGGCAATTCCCATCATGTTGCTAAGTTATCGTTTTACAAGAAGAATGGGTTGGAATGTGAAAAAATAAGCAGTTAACCTCCTGTGGAAAAAGATTAATCTGGAAAAAGCAGCCTCATTTTCTTCATTCAGTAAAGAATACATTGGAAAAATAGCTAGTCCTACATTATTGGTTGTTGATTGAGTGACGTATATTTTTATTTTTTGTTTTAAATATGGTTTTACATTGTGTAGGCCGCCTCAAGTTTCCATGGGCGAATAGGCAGCAATATAAATTAAATAAATAAAATATTGCTGAACAACTAATTACTAGCAACCTTAGAAGACTTAGGAATGAAAGATGCTGGAACTAAAAGACACAGGTTCCATATCTTCCCCATTTCAATTGCTTCAACCAGGTTGTGGTCATTCCCAGAAGTGTGCTCTGCACATATTGCAATAGGAACTTAGGAATGTCTGTGTTGTTGAGACATATTTGTGAATGTCCCAATGCTGGACACAAACCTTTTTGAAATAATGCATAACTTGCCTTTCTAAGCTTGGCTTAAGGCTCAATAAAAACAAAAAGAGGACATAGACATGAACTTAAATATGTATGTAGTTTCCAACCTCCTTATCTGAAACATGATACCCTTTTCAAAAACCAGAGTGAGTGTGAAATCTCAATTTTCTATTTGCACACATCATTATGTTATCGTATTTATGGTAGCTGTAATTCAGCAGTGACTGATTGGACCTGGTGGTTTCTCCTTCAATTAGACACAAACTTAATTAGACACAATTAGATAATGCAATGTAAAAATGATGAACAGTGAGGTGATGAGCTTTCGTTCTGGAGTATTTAAACACCCATTTAATTCAATTTATCTGTTGTATCTTAGGATGGTGAAGTTAAACGAGGCAAAGCTTCAAAACAGCACGGGTTCATCTTACATCCGTGCAATTCAAGCACTTGAGTTTTCCATCCCTAAGAAAACAAGATATGTCCGATACCAGAGCATGAAACAGCTTAACAGAGTCACCAAAAATGTACAAGGCTCTTATTAAAAAGTTCAGCATTTGTTGATCTATGAGTTCTGCTTCAGTGACCCAGCTGTGATCTCTGCAGCATCTGCAATCCCAGGAAAATATATTGCTTCAAAGTTTTCTAGCTTATTATGCCTGATCCCATATTGTAACTTCCCTGCCAGTTTGTCAGTTTACAGAAAAACACCCTTTCTATCTATCTATCT